AAGTAAACAAAATAGGCCCAAATGAGCTTATAGTTCTGATTGATGGAAAACAAGCTGATCGATGTGGAAAAAGAGAGCCTTATATTATAAATCCTTTAAACATATAAACGTCGCTTGTATTCCCATCAATATTATCCTGTTCAAAAAGACACAAGCACAAATTAGATTATTAAAAAAACTTGAAGATTCAATCAATATTTTGAAATTTTATGGGCTCTCTAATATTGATAATCAATTAGTTTAGTCAAAGTATGCGAATGGGCAGGATTGGGAAACCTACGTGAAGTTTATAATAAATCCGATATCTCTTTGGTTGCAAAGGTAAAATAATCATGATATTTAATATTATTATAATTTTTTAATAATCATTTTATAATTTCTTAAGGTGTCTATTGCTTTTTATATTTGTCACGGAATCAATTTCTTACATTCCTGCTCCGTGCTTCATCACGATATCCGTTGTGAAAACATTATGATAACTTCGCGTTTGGAGCCCAAAATTGCAAATTTTGAATATGCACGTTTTAAGTCCGATAATTCAACTAATATTACTGATATAACTGACATTTTGCATTGGCTTGCTCCCGAGAAAATGAGTAACGCTGATTATCGATACGACAAGAAATGCGAGAGAAAATTTTCCTTCCCATTTTTTTGAAAATCATTTTTTATTAAATCAAATTATTTAAAAAAAAGTTTTGGAATGCTTCTTTGGGAATTGATGTATCAAAGAATTCGGATATTGCTAAAATAAAAGAATATGTTTTATCTAATAAAAGAGAAAATATTATTTTTGGTAGAAAAATCCAAAAACTTCAAAAACGGTATGCGGAAATTATCTTTTCCGGTAAGTGATCCATATATATATATATATATTGATGCATTTTGTAAAATGAGAATTTTTTACCTCGCTTGGCAAGATGATCCACGAATTCGAGCTTCATTACAACACATTTACTTGAATTTATACAACATGTATATAACATATTGCTTTTCAGGGTACAATTCTTCACCAAGGTTAGATTTTCCAGATCTG